AAACGCCGTTTTGTCGGCTTTTAATCTGACCGTGTCAGTTTGGTGCTGCCGTGTTGCTGTTACTCCGGCGTGGCGGCGGTGTAGCGGGCCGCCCACATGTCGACCAAGTCCGCGGCCATTTCTTCCGCCAGCTGCAGCCGCTGGAGCCTCGCAGCCTTGAAGGCAGCCTCTATGGCCGGCATCTCCCTCTTGGCTTGCCGCCTCACCATGGCGAGCGCCTTGGGGAATGCGCCGCTCTGGACGTCCTTCTTGACGATGGCCGTCATCGTCTTCACGACCTCCGAGGGTTCATGGTCTTTAAAAAGTCATTGTCTCGGGAGAGGAATAGTGGCCTTAATAAAGGCTGTTTTGTCGGCTTTTAACCTGGCCGTCAGTTTGGTGCTGCCGTTACTCCGACGTGGGGGCGGTGTAGTGGGCCGCCCACTTGTTGGCCAGGTCCGCGGCCATTTCTTCCGCCAGCTGCAGCCGCTTGAGCCTCGCAGCCTTGAAGGCAGCCTCCATGGCCGGCATGTCCCGCTTGGCTTGCCGCCTCACCATGGCGAGCGGGCAAGCGCCTTGGGGAATGCGCCGCTCTTGACGTCCTGCTTCACGACGGCCGTCATCGTCTTCACGACCTCCGCCATGGCGGCGACGGCCTCTGGGTCGGAAGACATCGGAGCAGAGGTGGTCTTTCCGAGCAGGACGGCGGCAAGCAAATGCCAGGAATGGCAAGAACGTAGCCTTGCTGTGTATCCCTACGCTACGCCCCTGCGCCCCACGTCACGCTTGCAAGTGTGTGTGTGTGTGTGTGAGTGCGCTCACGGAGAGCGAAGGGGAGGAGGGTTCGCTATGGTCTTTGAAAAGTCATTCTCTCGGGAGATGAATGGTGGCTTTTAGCCTGGCCGGCAGGTTGGTGCTGCCGTGCTGATGTTACTCCGCCTTGGTGGCGGTGTAGCGCGCCGCCCACACGTCGACCATTTCTTCGCGACATTCTCCGCCGCCTCGCGCCGCACAGCCTCCAGCAGAGACTGTGCGAAGGGGAGGACCTCGTCCCCGACCGTCAACACGGTGCGGATGGCCTCGCTGGTGGCCGCGTCGCCGAGGGTCCCGCTCGACAGGGCCTCCTCGATGACTCCTGTCAACGAGCTCTTCAACGCTCGCGCAACTGCTTCGAGGGCGAGGGCATCGAATCCGGACATCTTTCCGACGGGCACGGCGGCAAGCGAATGAGGCAGCCTTGCTGGGCTGGGCGTCCCGACACGGAGAGCGAAGGGGACAAGGGTTGATAGTCTTTGAAAAGTCATTCTCTCGGGAGAGGAATGGTGGCCTTGAAAAATGCCGTTTTGCTGGCCATCAGGTTTGTGCTGCCGTGCTGCTCTTACTCCGGCGTGGCGGCGCTGTAGCGGGCCGCCCACGTGTCGGCCAATTCCACGGCCATTTCCTCCGGCAGCTGGAGCCTCGCAGCCTTGAAGGCAGCCTCCACTGCTGGCATGTCCCGCTTGGCTTGCCGCCTTACCATGGCGAGCGCCATGGGGGCAAGCGCCTTGGGGAAAGCGCCGGTTTGGACGTCCGTCTTGACGATGGCAAGTCGATCAGCTACGCCGGGTTGCCAACCCTGCAGGCGCTCGCCCTTGATGCTAAGCTTTTCTAATGAGAACAGGTCACGATTGGTTAACTTTATTAACAGAACAGGGCCGGAACTATCACTCAAGCATAGGAGTGTCATGCGGTTGACTTTTAACTTGAGGTTGCCTTTAGACAACGAGGAGAAACACTCATAAAGGGTGCCCTTTTGAGCATTCTACGACGACATTTTGCAGTTTTGGCAAATACCTGCTGTTGGAGCATTTGCCCTTGCAGCCCCTACAGGCCGCGATGCACAGAAGGTTATTCACTCGGCATCTGAACCTCTGCGTGTCGCATCCGCCATAGTTTGGGGGCAGTGTTGTGTCAACACTGGTAAAACTAAAGCGTAGTATTACCCACTGTTTTCAAGCGTAATCAGTTCACGCTTGAAATCAAGCGTAACAGGCTCATCCGCCAAGATTTTCCCTATCTAAATGCACGAGGGAATTTCTAGCCTATGCTTGATTTCAAGCGTAACTTAATGCTTGATTCAAGCGTAACTTTATACAATGGAGTTTTGAACAAAACCTGGAATAATGAGAAGCACTTATCAAGTGTGGGAATGCAAAATGCAAATCAAACAAGAATGAGTAGAATAATAAATGAACTTATCCCAGTAGGGACATTTGGGTACTTAGAGGGAATATGCAGTTCCAAATCCAAGGTGCCTGACTCAGACGGGGTGCCCACCGGCCCCTGAATGGCAAGTGCTTCGCGCGCCTCGCCCTCCGTCGTCCTGGCCGCTTAAGTGCGCGTTGGCGGTGCTCCGCGCGCCGCAAGGCACTGCTCTGCAAACTGAAGTGTGTAGTAGGTAGCTCACTGATGACCTTGGTTGGCTTCTTTACCTAGAACATGCTGCCACGTGATACTCTATTGGGTTCGATTCCACCTCCTTAACCGCGCTTGGGTAGTGGCTCGGATCGCTCAGGTCTGGGAGGAGAAATGCTGACTCATGGGTGAGGAGCTGCTTAGCCGTCGCATGGACTATAAAGATCTCTGCGGTGCCAACAGGGTTTGACCCCATTCTGAGTTGCGCATCCTTGGTCGCAGTGACGCCGGTCCCTGCGTAGTGTGGGTCCGGAGGCTGGATGTATGTCCTCTCTGGCACAGCTGGATGGGTTGCATCAGCAACGAAGGGGTGGCCCACAGTTGCTAAAACCAACTTCGTTGATGCCCAGTGACCAGCAGTATGAACAGCCGAGACATTATTCTCGTGGATCTCTGCATCCATCGTAGCTTTCCATGCCTTTCCGACGCAGCCCGACAGCTTGCTTCTGTCGCTGCCTGTGTGATGGTTCGTCGAAAACCAATTAAGTTTACCGCTCATAACGATGGTCGCAGTCTTATTCACTTTGGCTTCAGCTGTTGCCTTATCTATGGCATTCTTGTGCAGTTCGTAGTAGTCGGTGACTTTCTTGTCTGGCACAGTGATTGTCCGTGTATACGCACACGCTGCGGACGTCCCACCGCAAAGCACAACAGCTGCGGCCGCAGCTGCCATGAAGTCTCGCTTATCTGCTGTCTTTCATGTGTGCCCATGAAGCGGCGTAACAGGCTGCCTTACCAGCACTTATCCCTGTCAGAACAGGCAGTTTCAGCGAGTCATCGAGTGCAGGGTCCACACCGGCGGCAATGCCCAGCTCAGCTTTCCCATATTTATGCTGGGGATTTTGATTTCTCTGAGTGTATTCATTGTGGAGCCTGGTGACCAAGAGTACTCAAACCACCAACCAGCACTCAACGCCAAATCGGTCGCAAAACTAGTGATTTTTGCCCTTTTTGAACCTGTGAGTACACTAAATACGCGCAAATTTGTACACATGAGTACACTAGTGTACACTACAGTACACTATAGTGATTCACCCCTCGAAGTTTTGTCTGTCTGTCTGTCCGTCCGTCTGTGTGTGTGTGTGTGCACTACTCCTCCTGAACGGCTCGGCCGATCTGGCTGAGATTTTGCAGGGTTATTAGACATGTCCTTGGCTCGGCACACGCGAAATTTCACTATCCCAGCTCACGTGGTTCAGTTTTTTTAGGCGAAAAACACCTAAAAACGGCGAAAAATCGAGTTTTCTGCAGGTAGATCACTTCTGTCTTGAAGAAAGGAGGGTCTGGGGGGCGGAGCCCCCCTGCCCCGACAAGTTAAAAAGTTACAAGGGTCAAGATCGTGTTATCTGTAGATGAAGCAACTCTATCTAGAATAAAAGGGGGTCTGGGGGGCTGCATGCAACAAGTAAGAAGTAACCGATGATGATGGACAAGCCAATGCCTGCCGAAGGCAGGCTAGCGCCGCAGGCCAAGGTAGGTACGCCAGGCGCGGATTGGAGGAATAGGCCGCGAGACATCGCGAAGCCTGTTACGACAAGACGCGGTCTGGCGTAAACCTACCTTGTATCAGAATTCTGGTCAAAAAATCTTTCATTGGTTATTAACATTTTTCACGTTGGTACATAGTGGCATTGTGTTTAGCCAGATGCTCAGGTCCCACCTTTAATACAGTAAAATCAATGCCCTGAGCACGAAAAGCCGTACGGACCACGCACAAGCATTCACCACCCATTCTGTTGCGTTTTTGTCTCTGACGTAGTAAATGGTTCGCTGCCAACTTTAATCCTTCGTGGCACTGCTGCAGAGCCGCGACCCTGCCAACTCCATGGCTTTGTTCTTAAATGTTTTCGCATAGCCATCGCCAACAGGGAGCGCGGAGCCTGTTAGCTACCTCTAAGACCTCTCCATCTAGCGTCTAGTTGAAAATACCTAACACTGCCCATAGGTCCGCGGCTTCAGGAGCTGCCTTGCCAGTGATACCGAAGACCTCGATGTCTACTTGGTCAATATCTGCCATAGCCAGGGCATTGCAGGTATTCTCCCACCCTACAAATTGGTCTTCGTATGTGGCCATATTCTCTGCCGAGAATGCTGCTGCTTCAGACAGCTTACACTTTTTTGCGCATGGCATTCACATAAGTACCAATCCTCCTTGCAATGGTGGAGTGTCCAGAAGTGGCTTTGTGTTCGTGTCCAGTCAGATACTGGGAACCGATGTGGTACTCGGCCCCGCCTTCTTCTATCTCCTCACACTCAGCGATGAATGCCCGGCAGTCCGAGAGCCTTGGCATAGCATCTAGGTATGGAGTTCTAGCAAGCCTCTTCAGGCCTTCCTTGCAAGCACCGAATTTGGCAGTTCCAGCTGGGTATGTCGACTTCCTCAGTCCTACGTCCTTGGAGATTTCCCACGCTTGCCCGTATTAACGGATGGTTGCTGAGGCCGTGATATTGCTGGTGTATTTCGGGGACGTAATAGTACATTGGGGGACCCACTAAGCGCTACTCGCGTAGTGAGTATCTCTAAGGATTTGCTTGATGTACAATAAATAAGGAGCCCCTGGGTACAATTGATTTGAGGCTGAGCGTGTCCCGGGGCGAACCGGGTGGCAAAGTGCCTTAACATTAATAAAATTGAAAGTGGCTCTTTGGCCTTAGTCGCCTGACACACTATTTATGAAAAACTGAAGTCAATCCGCCGGTGTCCTGCTGCAGGTGAGCTCGTCGCAGGGGCACTTATTGACACCGAAGTGAGTTCGGTGCCCCTGGAACGCCGTCAACCTGCAACAGGACACCAGTGGATTAATGCTCAGACAGACAAATTACACAAACATAGTAAAAGTGCGCTTAATGCGCTTAATGTGCTTAAGCACAAGTGCCTTAAGGGCGGGAACTGGGGGAGCGGGAGGCGCTTTAATGCACATGATGTGCTTAATTAAGGTGGTAAGCAGTGCTTAAGCGCAGCCACGGGGCACAGGGGGAAACCAGCGAAAAATATGGAGAACCATGGGGACAAGAGAATACAACTTTAAGCGCAGAGGCCGTGCCATACTGCGAGCAGGATGGGGCAAGAATCAAAGGAGCTGTTTCACAGAAATTACAATAATTACACACTTAAGGCACACACAACACGGGCAGCAAAATTAACAGAGAGAATAAAAGCCCAAGTGTACTTAACTTTTGGAGGTGTGCTTAACGGGGTCAGCCGGCCGGTGAGTCGGCGGCGCACGGCAAAACCAACGTCCGGGTTTCCCAGGCGCACCCTGGAAAAACAGGGCATTTTTCCAGGGTGCGCCTGGGAAACCCGGACGTTGGTTTTGCCGTGCGGCTGGCAAGGTGGGCGGTGGGGGTCCCTCTCGGAACTGCCGCTGTCCGGACACACGCTCGACGTACACGTCCCGGGACCACTTGATAGCAGCGGCACAGGCAGTAGATGCTAGCAGAGGAATAGGGTACTTTCGTAGATCCCTGAACCGGAAGCACACAGACGCCATGTTGGCGGAAGTAGATCCAAACTTGACATGGGAAAGAGACGTTCGTCAAAGGTATCGGCCACACTTGAACATAAACAGTCGTTTGATACTTGTTTGCAGTGCTTGTGTGTTTCGCGAGCAATATTCGTACAGCTCGGCTGTAGTTTAGGATCCGAAGAGAGGTTAGTTTCCGGCCAATTTGGCGTCTGCTGGTCTGCTTGCTTCCGGTTCAGGATTCGACGAAAGTACCCTATAGATCGGGGTGTTACGCCAAGACCAGCAAGCACGTACTTATTACGGAAGTCCCACGCCCCCAGGGCGCCAACTACAATCGCGCCGACGGTGCAGTTTCACCCAGAGGCTCGCAGGTGGTCGGCGATCGGATCATAGGCCTGGTGCTTGGCTTCTCGGGCCCGGATCAGGGCGGCAGGCCGATCCTCATAGGGGCAGCAGAAGTGGACAGCCCGTCGATGATGGGCGTCGGGGCGGAGCTGCACCAGGTTTGGGGGGGGGGGGGGGGGGGGGGGGGGGCTGGGACATTAAGCACACCGTAAGGAATGGCCCGGTTTACTCTAACACTGCAAGCACTATGAATCTTGAGTGCAGATAAAACAACATTTTGCACTGCGTTATGCACTAGGGTAAATCCACTCTGAAAAAGACTCTGAAATCTTAGAGTTTCAGAGTTTTTTCCTGAGTTCCAGAGTTTTTTTCCTGAGTTCCAGAGTTTTTTCCTGAGTTCCTGAGTCTCAGTCTAGAGTGTCAGAGTGGGACTTCTGAGTTCCTGAGTCTCACTCTAGAGTGTTAGAGTGGGACTTCTGAGTTCCTGAGTCTCACTCTAGAGTGTCAGAGTGGGACTTCTGAGTTCCTGAGTCTCACTCTAGAGTGTCAGAGTGGGGCTTCTGAGTTTTAGAGTCTCACCCCAAGGTTTCAGAGTGGCGGGCTCTAGAGTCTTGCTCCAGAGTTTCACATTGGGGTCTCTTAGTTTTTAAATCTCACTCCAGAGTTTCAGAATCTGACCTTATTTTTCTAAGTTTGGTAAGTTTCTTTTCAGAGTTGGAAGTTTTTAGTCACGCGGCACCGTTAATTGAGTGCGACAAGTGGCGAAACGGTAGCCGCACGCGATAAGTTGCACCGTGTCGCAGCGCTCCGTGAAGGTAGGCAATCCCGCACCACAGGCGAGTTCGATTGGGTGCCTAACCTGTGCGTCACAGGCGTTCGGCTCGTTCGGCTCGTTCGGCTCCGCTCGGTTTGACTTCGGCCAACTTCGGCTCGGACTCGGGTCGGTTTCGGCTGGAGTCTTTTTCTCACTCCCCTTTGCGTTCGAAACGGGCGAGGTGCGGAACAGTTGTTTGAGACATGTTTTGGACTAGTGTCTTCTGTCGTCTTCATGGGTAGATCAAAGAAAAAGAGACCTGCGAAGTATAAAAGTTATTACGACCGAGATCTGGCTCATGAATGTGATGTTCCCGAATCTACACAACGATATCGAAATGTAAGCGTCCTGTAGTGTTATAAACATTGATATTATGACAGCTTCTATGCCTACTGTAGCACAACAAATGCATGCATAACCTCAGCAGACAACATGATGTAGTCATTCTCCTTAAAATTTATCACAGATACTTCTGTGTCTTGTGGTTTATTTTTGGCCCCAGCTGCTTTGAGTCGGAATCCCTAACTTGAACTTGTATTTATGCAACACACTCTATGGCTGAGCATTTTCACGCTTTTAACATAATAATATAGGGCCTAGTGTAAAGAACTTTCTCGATGCTAGCTTTTTCTTGAAGGAAACTGTGATTTTGATGTGCAGGTTCTAACCACTATTGTGATTTATCGTGTTCTAATTTTGCTTTACTTGTTTTACAGCGACAACAAAATGACACAGCTGGAGAGAATGCTCCACTAAACGCTGATCTGCAACAGGGAGCGGAGCTGCAAGGATTGACAGATTATCATGATGCGGATGCTGCCGAACATAACCAACAGGTATGGAAGTGTAGAGAAAATGTTACATGAAAACAAAGTCTCTAAGTGTTCTGTCGATGTTTGATTCTCTTCCTACTCCAATTAGGAGTGGCTAATTTTTTATATTGTATCAGGTGGGGCTTGAGAAAATGTTGAGCGTTCAGTAGTTTGTTTGTAATTTTTTTTATGACATTTGTCGAGGAATTCGAAAAGCTGTGTAAAGTATGTTTGTTTTTATGAGTGGAGCTATACTTGTATTAATTAAGTTCTGCAGTGATGATACTTTTAAACAAGGTATTAATGAGTCATCACCATAGCAGCTATTCCATACTGTTCATAGTATATTATTTTTTATCTTTGCTTCTGTAAGTCTTGCTGCTCTCCTCAAACCAAACCATTATAACATGTTAAAAGTAGAATCTTATCCTGTCTCATAAGTAATTTCTTTTCTTTTCCTTTTCTGTTTCATTGCAGCCTCAACCTGAGAGTGAATCCCTTGATGATTCTGACGACTCCATTGAAGCATCCGATCCTGGACATCTTTCCGATTCCGAATCTAGCAGTGAATATGATGACTTCGTCAACTTACATAACAAGAGATGCGTAAGTTGTGCATGACTTACTTCTTGTGTTTTTTCTTGCTTTTGATACTTTGTATTAGAAATAAATTTTTGGCCTAAAAGTAGTCTACTTTGAAAATTGAAATATAGATAAATATGATGTTTTCCAAAAGATTTATTTTAATTTATGCCCTTTATTTATTATACCTTTTAAGGAGTCAATCCCAAGCAGCAAGTCTCCAAGTCTATGTCTGAGGCCAACTGTCCAGTAAAGCTGTTACTCTCTTTTGCAGCGTAACCCAAATGAAGGAGATCCAAATCAGATCATTATCTCTGAACCAGAACACAGTGAATCAGGAGCTGAGGAACAGGTAAGGATCTCAAAATATTTCATGATGTAAAAATCTTTTCCTGCTCTCCAAGCAGTGTATCATTTTAATTGTTTTTATTTCTCATGTCTCAGACAGATCATTCTTCTCCAAATGACTCCGAATCAGAATACGATGAGGATGGTCCTGAGCAAATTACTGATAAAGCCGGGCCTCATGAGGAACAAACTTCAGATTCCGATTCTTCAAGTGGGCACAACTTTGTCACCTTACGCAACAAGAGACTTGTGAGTTGAAAATTAATGTCTGTCCTCTTTATGTGAATCGTCTTTCTAATGATTGATGACACTGGCATTGGATTGGGGTATTGATTACTGTGGTGAGAAGTTAGCTTTCATTACATATGATAATTTTTTTTCCACCCTTATGTTGCTTATCTTTTCTTCTCTACCTGAAGTGGTGAAAAGTTGATTCAAGGAAACAAGTCCTCACAATGTACTTGAGAACTTCTCACATGAATCAACATTTTCACCTCAATAGAGTCAACAAGACCTCTGTCTATTGCATTTGAAGAACTCAATTTGAAATAATATTTCCAAAGTAGCCAAAAATAAATGGACATGGAGCCTATCCAATCAAGTTGTCAGGTGCAACAATTTAACATCTGGTACTCTCTTTTACAGCGTAATCCAAACAGAGATGGTTTTGACGCAGCTAATGAGAGAGAACCCACTCAGATTACTCTGTCTGAATCGGAGCACAGTGCATCAGCAACTGAGGAACAGGTAAGGATCTCAAAATTTTTCATGATGTAAAAATCTTTCCCTGCTCTCCAAGCAGTGTATCACTTTAATTGTTTTTATTTCTCATAATGTCTCAGACAGATCATTCTTCTCCAAATGACTCCGAATCAGAATACGATGAGGATGGTCCTGAGCAAATTACTGATAAAGCCGGACCTCATGAGGAACAAACTTCGGAGTCCGATTCTTCAAGTATGCACAACAACTTTGTCACCTTACGCAACAAGAGACTTGTGAGTTGAAAATTAATGTCTGTCTTCTTTATGTGAATCTTCTTTCAAATGATTGATGGCACTGGCATTGGATTGGGGTATTGATTACTGTGGTGAGAAGTTAGCTTTCATTACATATGATAATTTTTTTCCACCCTTATGTTCCTCATCTTTTCTTCTCTACCTCAAGTGGTGAAAAGTTGATTCAAGGAAACAAGTCCTCACAATGTACTTGAGAATTTCTCACATGAATCAACATTTTCACCTCAATAGAGTCAACAAGACCTCTGTCTATTGCATTTGAAGAACTCAATTTGAAATAATATTTCCAAAGTAGCCAAAAATAAATGGACATGGAGCCTATCCAATCAAGCTGTCTGGTGCAACAATTTAACATCTGGTACTCTCTTTTGCAGCGTAATCCAAACAGAGATGGTGGTGGCGCAGCCAATGAAGAAGATCCCACTCAGAATACTCTGTCTGAATCGGAGCACAGTGCATCAGTAACTGAGGAACAGGTAAGGATATCAAATTATTCCATGATGTATGAAACTTCTGCTGCTCTCTAAGCAGTGCATTTTTTTAAAAATTGTTTTTATTTTCCATACTGTTGCAGACTCAGCATTCGTCTGCAGATGAGTCTAATAGTGAATCTGGCAGTGATGGCCTTTTTCAAAATTTTGACAATGCCTCCCTTCATTCTGAACAAACGACTGACTTTGAAATGGTAAGCAACATTTTTTCCACATTGAAATGTCTTGAGTTCTTTCTTCATTTTTCTGTAATGTATTGTAGTTCAGTAATGTATTCTAGGTTTTTGAAGCTGTAAAGTGTAGTGTGTTTGTTTCCTAGTTATTGATTTTATACGATTTGATTTTATCTTCTCTTTGTTTTCAGGATAACATGTCTGATAGTGTCAATATTGAACACTGTGGTTTTGAGAATCAAAACAGAGACATGGGTCTCTGGGATGGTGACCAGGTCAGTCAAATGAGATTTACTTCAAATAAGAACTAAGGGGGGTTTTACCTTAAACATGGAAAAAAAATTTGTGGCTCCTTTGTTTATTTTCTTTGGATTGTTTGGTATTCATTTAGCCTTAAGAATATGTTCCTTTTTGATATCGAGTGTCAAGAAAGGTGGTTTGGTTTGGACAAAGTGGACCTCTGCTCAGAAACCTTGTGGTATTGTATCAAACAAAAGGCAACGAGGCCAAAATTTTGACCAACTGGTTGATCCAAAAGCTTACGCAGAAACATTAAAACTCAAAATTGTTCGCGGTCTGAGATCAGAAGTTTGATTTCTCCATACCATGTCGCATTTCTTGACACTGATTATCAAGAAGGAACATTGTCTCATGACTAAATTAAAACCAAACATGCAAGAAAAACTAAAGTAATATTAACTGGAAAAATCTTTGTTTCCTCACAGGCAAATGAGTCTATCTCTTCAGACGCCAATGAAGAGCAAGAAAACGAAGCCCACATTGCAGAGAACATGCCAGACAATGTCGTAACTGGGACTGATGGTTTTCAGAAGTTGCTAACTAAACTCCATGGTGTATATTCAGAAGATATCCCTTCTCAACCAACAGTGAACCCTAACGACATTATCCAAATGGTGATAGGTTTATCTCAAAGGCATAGGTGGACACACCACGAGAAAGAAGATTTGATGAAATTAGTTAACTGGATTGTAGGAAGGCGAATCCTTCCAGATACTCGCTTTCTTATAGACTCTGTATTTTTTCCTAAATCAAGTTTGACATATTTTTTTTATTGTTGTAAATGCACTAAAATGTTAGGTAGTAGTGAACTTATTGAAATGAAAGTCAAGACTAAGACATGCCCTAATACAAAGTGTGCCCACTCCAATGTGATATCTGACCTTTCCAAAGCCACATACTTCGTATGTTTTGATGTACCATCACAGATTGCTTTACTTCTACAAGACCAGAATGTACGAAGGAAACTGTTAAATCCCAAAAGTCTCTTTGAAAATTCAAACCATGATAGAGTGATGCGGGATCTGTATGATGGTTCAGTATATCGAAAATTTCTGTCATATCTTGATTTTTCCAGCAATACTCATTATGTCTCAGTATCAATGTCTGTCGATGGTGTTGCCCTATTTGTGACTAGTACTGTTTCTATCACACCTTGTTTTCTTATGATAAATGAACTACCCCCAGTACTAAGGATGAATAATTTAATCCTTGCTGGCCTATGGTTTGGAAAAAAGGTACAAACTGATGTATTTCTTCCACCAATTGTAGACAAAATTAAACATTTATCTAATGAAGGATTTAATATTAAAGTTGAAGACAATGTTTATTGGCATGTTAAGCTGTATCTTCTCTCACTTGTGGCAGATTCTGGCCTTAGGTGGGATGTACAGGGAATCCATGCGCACAGAGGGGAATATATAGTTGTTCGTGGTGTCTTATCAAGGGTGAAGAGTTGGGAGGTGCTAGAAAATTCCGCTTCAGTTACCCTTTTCCACCTTCAAGAACTCTTCAACAGATGCTGGAGGATGCAGCTGAGGCATTGAGGACTAAAAAGGTCATAAGGGGAGTAAAATGCCTGTCTGTCTTAACTGCTGCTCCTCTTTTCCATCCCATTGAAGGCATGGTGGTTGACAAGATGCATGCGGCTGATGAAGGCATTGCAAAAGCTTTCACCCTTTCCTGGTTGGGAGATGATGGCGCCATGACATGGAGTATTAAAGCCCACATTCCGAAGATTGAAGACAGAATCGCAAAACTTAGATATCCAGTAGAAATCCGCAAAGCTCCCAGAAAAATCCAGAAGAGAGCAAGATGGACGGCAAGAGAATGGGAGAATTGGACTCTATTCTTTAGTGTGCCAGTGCTTGTGGGTATTCTTGCAAATAACCTGCTTCAACATTGGTCTTTATTTGTACAAGGTAACTTCCTTCTTCTTCAAACTGAAGAAACTGAGGAAATGCTCAATGTAAGTTGGCAATTGCTGTTGGAATTTGTTGCCAAGGTAGAAATCCTATACATGGCTGAAATGATGACTTTCAATGTACATTTGATCTTACATTTTGTGGAAAATGTAATCAGGCATGGGCCGTTCTTTGCTCTAAATGCTTATGCCTTTGAGAAAGGTAATCAAATTTTGAAGAATGTAATCTTTGCTTGCAATGGAATACCCAATCAGGTTTGTCGCTACATAGCAGAGGGACAGGCTGCACAAATAATGAAAGTTGAAAAACCATCTGATGAAGCTAACTTGTTTTTGAAGAAGACAGACAAGAAAAATCAAGCTCTCATCAAAGAAGTTGGCAATGCTGAACTGCGTGGATTCTCCAGGGCTTTTAGCAATCCAGACAACCAAGAACAATGGCTTTTAAATAAGCACAAGATAGACAAAAATCAATGTGTTATTTTTAACAAGGTGAAAGTCAATGGAGTGACATATGAGACATTTCGTTCATCACAAAGGCTGGATAATTCAGTAGCTCTACTCACTGATGAAAGTGCTTTACAAATTAAGAAAATTATACTGAATGAAACAACTCATGAGATATTCATTTTTGGAGTAAGGGTTCGATGCAAGCCATCTAAGTTCTGTCACCCAAGTGTTGTGAGATTAGGAAAAATGTCACTCTGTTTTTTATTGGATGTCTTGTCTGTGGATGAGGAAATAATTTGTGTGCCTCTGTCATCTCTGAAGAACATATTTGTCAATATGAAGTTGCCTCATGGGCACTACCTTTCTTGTGTTCCTAACATTTTTAATATGGTCTAAATCGTATTTCAATGTTACATCAAATTAGTAATTAATATATTTGAATTTACTGTTATATTTGAAAATGATACTACTGTGTGAGACTTTCACCTCCAAGCCTTGTAATGTTTTGCTATTATTTTTCTGTAAGTTGTTTGTTAAGTGATCATTATTGTTGAAACTATCATACAAAGAGTTGAGAACCTGTTACTGATGGAAAAGACTGATTAAAATGAATCAATTTTTCTTAGTTTTTCTGTTTTGTTTCCCCACTTCATCCTTTCCTTTTTTATTCCTTCACATACTTATTTTATGTCTCAAGAAATTTCACTGATACAAAATCTAGTGAAAAGTAATAACATTGTTATCACCGCAATCATATTTTTAATCATGTACACTAGTGGGATAATAATGGTGCGAAACAGTACTGCGCCTCCATGTGGAAATTTGAGTGCTTTGAAACCAGTCAAATGTACTCGTCAGTAGTATTTGTTCGATTATGTCGTCTAGATGCCAAGCACATAGGATAGTTTTCAGGCATTTTGGGTGCTAAACGCCAAATTAAATTATTAGAGGGCCATCCATAAAATATATTTTTACACATGAAATTATTGTTCCGTGGGGAACGGACCTAAGTTTTGCACTAATTCTCTTATGTAATGACAAAATCCACCGCCATAGGCATAATTTATTTTGAAAACGTATCTTATTTAGGGACCGGCCCCTCAACTTCAAAGGCTTATTTCTCCATTGTCCCAATATGTGCAGAGCTCAAATTTTACATACAAGCTCCCTGTGGGTCCATTGATCATTCTGTGTAATCTGAGCACCCTCCCATTTACCGTTTTTGAGCATGTACATAAGGCGATTTTCGGGTTTGGCCTTCCATCCTGGGCACACTCCGTACAACCATGCTCGACATGTTAACTAGATTCAAGCTCCGGATCGATTTTCTTATTTCCAGGCTTTTATGCCCTGTTTGGAAATTACTTGGTGTCTTCGCCAGGTAGCACAGTGACCAAAGTCATCGCTTCGTATGTAATTTTGTCAAATTTTTGGTCACCTGTCTCTAATTTTCAATTGTGAAATTCGTATCAGGTTCGGATTCCCGCCAATCAAGCAGCACTCTGATTGGCTGGACGAGTTTTGGATACAACGGTGGTTTCGGTGCCCTTGCGTGCGCAATTTCAATTTACCACTTATTTTCTTGTTTGAAAACACTGGAATTTAAATTTTATTTCCATTTATTAAGAGTCTAATCATCGTTTAAAAGAACATCATCTACTACCTCCGTTGTCTTCTTTACTCTTGAAGTCCATGTTGAAAGGAGTACCAACATACAATAGCGTACCGATTGACAATCCAAGCTTGAATCTAGAAAAATAGTTTGCTATTTAACATATTTAAAGATTCATTTACCAGTTCCTATTTGTTTATGTTTGGAAAGTAACATTTTTTCAGCTCCATCTTGGCAAATACTTGGCTGTTTTCACTTATAATGTTGGCAGCATGTAATATTTTTTGACTGAAGCAGTGTCCCCCACTCCCATCGCCACACTTGCTCGCCGCTGCCGCTGAACGTTCAACGGTTTTTGGGTGATGGCGAGTGCCGCGTTCTGTTCTCTCAACACATTGTAATTCTTAGTGAAGTGAGGGCTAATTGTTTGGATCTAGAGAACCACTGGTTTCTTTCAATCCACCACCATGGCGAATTACGCCGCTGTCCAATTTACTGACTCCTCCAAGATGAAGAAATTGAAAGTGGTGCCTGTCGAGTTGATTAGGTATTCCGAAAATGGAGCCACTTTGTCGCCCACATGCCTTCAAGATATTCCTGCTGACTCAACGGAGGTGAAATGGCAGAAAAGTGATCTAGGATCAGATGGTTATTTCCCGGCGAAGATTTTATGCTTCGGTGGTAAGTGAGGTTAAGTTCAGCGCTAGTCCTAGGCTAACGTAAATGCAGCCTTCCCTCGCTAAGTATTTCATAAGTCATGTTTCGTGTAACGTTCTGTGTTCAAACGTGTTGATTTTGGTTAGCTGGTTGTTGTGCGACTGTTTGCCGCTCATCTTATTTCAACCTCTAATTTTCCTTAACAGTACAAATTTATCTTATGGTTTTCCCTCTGCAGCAAATGCTTTGCTATTGCAATCAATCCTCCATCACACTCTCCTACAATATGTCTAGCTTTAGAATTGTATTCTTATTTCAACTCCTCCAAATTAACCTTAAACTGTCTCTTATTTTGCAGGTACCGTGGAATCAACAATTGCAACGGCAAAGGTTATGGGCCATAAGCTTGGAGCCGATTCCGTTCTCCTAGAACCTCTGCGCACAAAACTACTGACCCCAGAGAGTCCTAAGGAGAAGGTATGTAAATACGCCAGGATAGTCTGCAGCTACTGTGCTGTCACTATGATCCCAACGCCCATCAAATTCTGATTCCGTCCTGTAGAGTTCATTTGCTCTTACACCTCACAATCACTCGACAGTGATAGGAATAAGCAAAGTAGCTCTATTAAGTTGGACTGAAAATTTGATGAGCAACGACTTAATGAGGCTGTTGTCATAGCACCTTTAGTTTAGCTGCTTAGAATGCTCTATGGCGCACTTTCCAAATGGAAACCATTCTTTACCCGTTCCATGTAGTTCATAAAACTCCTTCACAGTAAACACTGTTAAAATGCAGAAGGACTCTTTTGATAACATTTTGGGATTAACTTTTTAGAGTGAAAATAATTTTTATTTGTGTTTGTGTTCTGGTTTTTGTTTCTTATCGTCTTATCAAAACTAATTTCATTCCAGAACGATCGAAAGTCCAGGGCATTAATCAAGAGGAAAGCACCCATTTCTTCAGAAGATCCTGTGCGTAGCAAGAAAAAGAGAAAGGTGACTTATTACTATTTATCAGAACTGCAGTCAAGTCATTTTATTTGGTGAAAGATAAAATATATCTGTTTTTAATTTCAGGCTCCACAGAAGGAGAAGAGAGCTGATGTTGAGCAGGGTCAGAGCTCAAAACAAAAGAAAAAGAAAGCACCTCTAAACAAGCTCGCTGCAGACCCTATTGTGGCAGCACGTTTGAAAGATGCATTGGATTTGGCTTTGACCTCAAACCCACTTTGCCTAGACCACCTATCTAAATTAGAGGTAACTCAATGCTGTTAAAATAACATATTTTTAACAATGATTTTTATAAAATCTAAATTTGACTTTGGTTTGTTGCAGAAAAATGATGCCTCTTTACAGGATGGGCCTCTGAAGCTAGAAAGTATTGATCAAGACGTTCAAAAGAAGGCATCAGAATCTGTGTTCGAATCTGTCAAAGCTCAAGTCAAAACTGCTGCAGGGAAACCTTCTCTGGTCAAGCCTCCATTCAAATCCTCTCCTGTCAAGTCTCCATTCGAATCTTCTCCTGTTGTATCTCCATTGAAACCTTCTCCGGCCAAATGTAACTTCAAACCTTCTCCAGCCAAAGCCCAATTTAAACCCTCTCCAGCCAGAGTCCAATTTAAACCTTCTCCAGCCAAAGTCCAATTTAAACCTTCTCCAGTCAAAGTCCAATTTAAACCTTCTCCAGCCAAAGTCCAATTTAAATCTTCTCCAGCCAAAGCCCAATTTATACCTTCTCCAGCCAAATCTGCAACCCAAGATGTCTTCGAAGGGAATGACGCAGACTTAAATCCAACTCCAGTTAAGAAGACACTTTTTGGAATCTCTTCTCCAGGAGAGTCTGTCACACCTTCAACACTTGGAGTCAAGAAGTCTAGTGACTCCTTCTCTGAGGTATGTTGTTTGTAGAGCTCATGCTGTATTACTTAAAGGACTCTCGTATCATTTTTTTATTATTATTGCTATTGCTCATTTTAGGATGACGACTCCAACACTACAGTTAAAGCTTCCAGTGATTCAAGCCCTGACCCATCAAGTGAGGACTCAAGTGAGGGATCTAGTGGAAGCAATGACCCAGTGTGCAAACTCTCTGATGACAAGGAGCAATTACGACAGAAACTGCTCACTTTAAAATTGGAGAACCAAAATCTCAAGACCCAGCTTTCAGTAGTGTGGGGTGAAAAAAAGAAAGTGGCTGATGCCTCAGAAAAAACTGTTGAAGCTCTTAAAGAAAAATTGATTAAAGTGCAAGAAGAACTGAAGCATGAAAAGAGTAGGAACTTTGCCCTCCAAGAAGCTCTTGTAAAGACTTCCAGCTCTCATTCAGGTTAGTATATAATAGGTTGTAAGATTATTTTTTAAATACATTCTCTTGCATGAAAGTTTTTGTTTTGGTTTGCAGTGTCTCGTACTCTACATTTTGGGAAATCTGCTGAATCTCCCAAGCACTCAGGTATACACAGCTGACTCTCTTCTTGTATCTTATTTTTTGAATTTTGTGTTTTGACATAATGGTGATTTGTATTGCAGGAACCACAGATTTATCAGACCCTTCCCTTCCACCAAATAATGAAGAGGATGATAAATCCAAAGGCACTGCTCCTGACCAGAAGAAAGATAGCAAGAAACAAAAATCTGGGAAAAAATGTAGGTGTATCTGTACATATATTATTGAAGCACAGTATTGTGAAATGAGTCTTTTTACCTGTTTCATTTTTACAGATATTGAGAGCAATGCCTTGCCCATAGATAGTTCATGTCAGAAGGTTCTTAGTTATTTGAACAAAACTGAGATTCCAATTTTAGACAAAAAAGGAAACGTAAGTGTTTACCCTCAAATTATTTTAGTAGGATGGTTATTAAGTGAAAATATTCAAGAATGTTCAGCGTAATCTTTTATTAATTGGGGACCACATTTTAACAAGTAATTTTTAATGTCTTTAGAAAGATTACATGCTTCATTTCTGTTTGTTTGGTTTTGATTGTGAAAATACTTTGCTGCCATTCAATTTACTTTTAGGAAAAAACTGTGTTCTTTTCTCATTATGATACTATGACCAGTATCAGTCATCATCGAAAAGTCTTATGCTAATTATTTCAATTTTCTTATCTTTCAGGTTGACATTGGCAACGATGTTGTGATAAACTATAAAGGCATGATGGATATTCTTAGGAGCAAGACTGAGCCAGAGACAATGGCACGGAACTTGACTTTGCTAACATGGGATTCAAAAGAGAGGGCATCACGATCCCTGGATGGAAAGATCAGCAACAGATACCCGAATGCCCCCAAAAAAGCAGCAGCCACTCCAAGCAAGGTTAACTCAATCTTAGGTAAGTCGCTTTCCTATAGATATGGTTTTGGTGCTAATGTCTCGGCTTTTTGCCATCTTTTAGAAATAGGTTGTCTTAATAGCTTTTTGTAAACTCCTTTTCTTGGTCATGTGTTGGCAGGAGCTGTGAAAGCTTCTCTGCTGAAGGCTGGTTCTCAAGAAGGGCCAATGATGAGTACAACCCTCTTTGCGTGCCGACGGGGTATTGGCAACAGGTTTAATGAAACATCCAATCAGTCCAAGAAGAGTCCTAATTAGTTTCTTTTTGTTTGTGGTGTACCTATCAAAGTATTTTCTTAGTATTTTTGTAACTTCTTAGTCTCTTCCTGTTTGTGTTATTGACATTACAAATTATTTCTTGTAACTTTGTAACTACTTAGTTTTTTGTTTGTATCGTTGACTATTACAAAGTATTTTCTTGCAACTTTGTAACTTCTTACTTTCTTTTTGTTTGAGTTTTAATTGACATTACAAAGCATTTTCATGGTATAAATCACCTGTTTGATTTGAACCTCACCTACTACTTCTAATTTTGACAGCTGCTGCAAGCCACCTACATTTGTCTACGCACGATCAAAGGGGTGATTCACTTCAACGGCCAGCACCACAGACTCCCTTCAGTAATCAGGACTTCATCTTTGGAACCCTACGATATGTGAAAGTGAGGCACCATTTGAGTGAGTAATGTCAACCTCATCTGCCTGGAAGTGAATCACCCCTTTCGGTTCGAGTCCCAGTTACCTACTCTTGAGCTAAAAACTGGTTCCAGCGAGTTATGCCCGCCTACGCTGGTCTTCTGGCCCACGGTGCGGCGAGGCGGCTCGGTAGGCAACCCGCCACGCGTGCGTGTGGCGGCGCGGCCTACCCCATCCCCGACGGGCGCTCCCGGGCCTGGCCCCACTAGCACTATGAAACTCTGGAACTCAGACTCAGAAATTCTGAAACTCAGCCACTCACACTCTGGAACTCAGACACTCACACTCTAAAACTCAGCCACTGAAACTCTGGAACTCTGCTTCGGCAACTCTGAAACTCTAACTCTCAGGTGCGCGAATTTCTGGAGTCCCTGTCTCAGAGTGTCTTCTCAGAGTGACTTTCTCAGAGTTCAGACTCTGCAGAGTTCCAGAGTGCGACGGACTCTGAGAATTCTCAGAGTGGATTTACCCTAGTGTGGCGGTGGGTAATTCCGACCATGTTAGGTAAACACACAAGACGTGGGCCTGAGATTCAATCTGCGCAGGGCAGCGCCGACAGGACCGCTCGTGCTCAGGGCGGGCTCCACGGAAGGTACCCCGCAGGGGGAGTACGCCAAGGCGAGCGCGATGAATAAATCGCCAGTCGCAGAACCGCACGTCACGGCCAGCAGAGAGGGCCTGGTTGCTGGCCCTGGACTGTACCACGGCCTCCATGACGCGGCCCTGGTCCGCCTTGGCGGTGAGGCAGTCACGGAGACGGAGCTGGACAGCCAGGCGGAGCTTGGACGCAGCTCCACTCTCATTCCAGGAACTTGACATCTGTCACGTTCGTTTGAGCATTGTGTCACATTCGTTTGGGTGTGAATTGGCCGAAAATCAGCTCGTTCACATTCAAACGAACGTGACACAATGCTCGGAATGAGAGTGTCCACGGCGGCCCGACGCGCTGATGGTCACGGGGTTGCCGTCCCAGCCAGGGGCGACCAGACAAGGGCCCTCATCCTCCGACCAGGTCCAGCCGATCGACGGGACAAATTTGCGTAGGCGGCCGCAGGCGGCGCGGGCCTAGGACCACAGGGAGCGGCCCGTGCCCACGCGGCGCGCGAAGGGGCCAGTGCGGTCGCCTGCAAGGTAGGCAGCCAGGTCGGCGTCTGACGGGTTGCGCTTAAAGGTGCTTACAGCAGCGCAAAGGCCTTCCTTCGCCACTGAGGCCACTAGGGGGTCAACGCAGGTCAGGAGGCGGAACACATGGGAGTAACTCCACCCCAAGGTGGACCGAGATCTGGGATTGGGTCACGGATTCGGTTCAAACTTTGTGGGTTCAATAGGTACCACTAGGACTTATCAACCCTAAAAGGAAAGTTGGCTAGCTCAAATAGAACCTGAGATATTTGCATTTTTCTAAATTTGACTAATTTAGCGTAAAAATGTCGCTTTCTGATTTTTTTATGGTAAAAGTTGTTCGCTTAGTTCTGGCTTGCATTTCTTCTTTCTATTCATAAAAAAGGGAGAAAAATGGTGGTAGGCCAAGTTTTGTACGTTGCTTGGTTTGGCCTAATCGAGCAATTTTGTCGAATTCATCGAAACTCTCATATCCAAAATACTCCACCTTGGATTTGACCCTGGTACGTCTCATTTCACTTCTTTTACTCTAATAAACAATTGCTATATAGTCCCTAGCACCAACAATTCCATTTGAGCCCGAAAAATCAGGAACACTATTTTTCAATTTTCTACTTTGACCTATTTTGGGCGCTTCTGTCAAGATTAGGGCTTCTACATGATCTTGGGTGACAGGAAAGATCCTCCCTGCCCTCAATTAAGATAGTATCAACACAAACAAAGAGACCCCAACTCAAGGTGCATTAAAAATTGATAAGCAGGGGCGGACTGGCCCGGGCGGCTAGGCGGCGATCGCCGCCTGGGCCCTTGGGCCCGAAGGGCCCCTGGTCTTGCTCCAAAAGACGTAAATGGGCCAAAGGGCCCCTGGACTTACTTCAAAAGACCTAAATAGACCAAAGGGCCCTAGATTCGCTCGGAGTCCGATGGGGCTCAAGGAACAAGGGCCCAAGGCCTCATGGTCTCAAAGAGCAAGGGCCTTTTCTGGGCTACAGAGCAAGGGCCCAAAATTCGCCTAAGAAAAAGGGCCCCAAAAGGGCTACAGGGCCGCCAGGCCGCCTACAAAGGGCCAACTAGTTAAAGAGCCTTAAAGGGGCTACAGGACAAGGGTGCACAAGTGCAAGGGCCCAAAGAGGGCCCAAGAATAACAGGAAAAGTAGCGATATACATCGGCAACTTTGGCCCGTCCCGTACATTAAGAAACGTACGAATTTCGCCTATGTTTGACCCTGACGGGAATTAAACCTGAGTCTGGGGTTAAAATAAATGTCGTTTTCGTCATCAGCACCCTCGAAAACATCAAAAACAATGCAAAAACTCGAATAAAAAGAATGTTCAAAAAATACTCCGCTGGGATTTGAACCCGGGTCCGAAGTTCTCCGATTCGCTCGAAACTGGCACCATTGGTTTTCTCTCGTCGCCCCGATTCCAAAAATACCCCTACATGCCCTCCTAGCTGCATCCGTTGCCGAGATCCTCCTCGACCCCATGTAGACCATGATGCACCTGCAGCAGCGCCCCTGGGGCTCGGAACGGATTTGCTGCCACCGGGCGGTTCTTAGGGTCACCCAAGGAGGCTGCATACCAAATTTGGTCAAGATCGGACCACGGGAAGTCCTCGGACGGACGGACGGACGGACGAACGAACGGACGCACAGCAGGGATCATACTATATGCCCGTCCCTCCGTCATTTTTTTTACAAAAAATAAACGGGACGGGCCAAAAAGGGCCCCAAAAGGGCTACAGGACAAGGGAGCACAAAGGGCCCACACGAGCATGGGCCCAAAACCGGCCTTCTAAGCAAGAGCTCAAAAAGTGCCCAAAAAGCAAGCATGGGCTCGAAAGGGGCCCACAGAGGAAAGGATAAAAAAATTATAGATTTCAAATTTTTTACAAAGCATTACCTGCTTTTTTCCTGATTTGAATGCTATTTTTTGTGGGGGGGGGGGGTCGCACAATGTTCCGGGGCCCCTAGAGGAACCCTCCGCCAGGGCCCTTTTGGTCCCAGTCCGCCCCTGTTGATAAGGAAATTGTTTCGAGCAAATTTTGCAAGTGTACGAGGGGTGTGAGGAATTTCAATCGGAGGAAAATGTAATGCTTTAGCCAAAAGTGGATTTGTGGTTCATTTGTTAGCTTTCTCAAGTAGGTTTGGTGCCCTTTCAACCATGAGAATGTTCCTCCTTGATAATCAGTGTTAAAACCCTGTTTTGGTATAGGGTTGTTGGACATACGATTTCAACGCATTAACAAAGTAATGATACATTTATCCAGTTGTTTGCAACGTGTAAGTTCAACCGCTTAGTCTCAATGACTGAGCCTGGTTTCATTTGGTTTGTTAATTTTTTAGACCAGCCAGATGAGTTGAGACTAGGAGGCTCAGCTTATGCATTGCAAACAACCTAAATAAATGTATCATTACTTTGTTAATGCGTTAACATTGCAAGTCCAACAACCCTATACCAAATCTGGGTATAGACACTGACTGTCATGGAGGAACATTCTCATGGTTGAAAGGGCACCAAACCTACTTGAGAAAGCTAACTAATGAACCACAAATCCACTTTTGGCTAAAGCATTACATTTTCCTCCGATTGAAATTCCTCACACCCCTCGTACACTTGCAAAATTTGCTCGAAACAATTTCCTTATCAATTTATAATGCACCTTGAGTTGGGGTCTCTTTGTTTGTGTTGATACTATCTTAATTGAGGGCAGGGAGGATCTTTCCTGTCACCCAAGATCATGTAGAAGCCCTAATCTTGACAAAAGCGCCCAAAATAGGTCAAAGTAGAAAATTGAAAAATAGTGTTCCTGATTTTTCGGGCTCAAATGGAATTGTTGGTGCTAGGGACTATATAGCAATTGTTTATTAGAGTAAAAGAAGTGAAATGAGACGTACCAGGGTCAAATCCAAGGTGGAGTATTTTGGGTATGAGAGTTTCGATGAATTCGACAAAATTGCTCGATTAGGCCAAACCAAGCAACGTACAAAACTTGGCCTACCACCATTTTTCTCCTTTTTTTTATGACTAGAAAGAAGAAATGCAAGCCAGAACTAAGCGAACAACTTTTGCCATAAAAATCTCATTCAACGAACGTTAATGAAAGCAGATGATACTCGTTTGGTTTTCTTCTACGGTGTAGTATGGGTTCATTCCAAAGCTGAGTCCTTTGTGCGCTGTAGCGGGGAGGGATTGTGAATGTTGCGCCCAGGCCGTCGCGCGCGAGGAGGGGTGCCATTGTCGAATTCCGCGCAGGCTGCGCCGCAGGCACAGACGCACCAGCCCGCCCCGGCAGCCAGCCCCTATTATATTGTTAGGATACGCACTTGGTTTTTGGACTCTCGAGTAAAAGCTAGCTGACACCTTTATGTGTCTTTTAGTTGTAGTTTTAGGTATGTTTTTGAGTAAAGGTATCATCTGCTAAAAAATCAGAAAGCGACA